CTCTGAATATGTATTCGGATTTAGCAGTTAATGGACCTAAATTTTGTTCTACTAATCACTAAGCTAACAGATATTGCGCAACTATTGTATAAACTATTAGTCGGTTAGTCTTACTACTACTAGTACTACTACTACTACTACTACTACTACTACTACTACTACTACTACTACTACTACTACTACTAATAATAATAATAATAATAATAATAATAATAATAATAATAATATTAATAATAATAACAGCAGTAGTAATATTAGTAATAATAGTAGTAGTGGAAAAACTCTGTTAGCAAAATTTTATTCTATAAGTTTTCTAATTGCGTGTACTTTGGCTCTCATCAGGTGTTAATAAATTTGTATAGCTTTCAGAGCTCTAGAATCGCACATTATAGGGCCTATTAAGATCATTTTGCTAATCTGGAAATACAATCTGATCGGTTTACGTAATAGTGCCCGTTCATAATATTTCTTTTCTACAGTCTGTCGTCGAGAAAAGGATAACTAATCAGTAACTCTAATCTTTATTCAACAGAATGGAATGTTCAAAAACTCTCTGACTTTCTAATATCAATTCATAAGTTCGTATGAATGATACGCAGATACGTTCCATCCGCTTTGTACTGGTTAAAAGAGAGCTCGAATTAAATTAATCTCTCTCTCTCTCTCTCTCTCTCTCTCTCTCTCTCTCTCTCTCTCTCTCTCTCTCTCTCTCTCTCTCTCTCATTGTATATTACAATCACAAATGTCATACAGGTGGGGAAATAAACGCAGGGTTATTAACTTTAGTGGAGTAAAGAGTGGAACATTTTTGCGTATGTAATGTTCACGATTTCGCTGCTTGGTAGGTTGAATTGCTTTACTCCTTACATTTCGACGAGGATGTTCCATTTTTAAAAAAAATAACTTTTGTCCACTCCATGCGAGGATTAAACAATGTACAAAGTCCTTGTGTGTGGTATGTATTGCTAAGAGGAGATGAATACGATCTTAACTGAAAGAGAAACACTGTCAATTGGGCTTTTAATGAAGAGTATACTATCTTTTCTTTACGTAATCTTGGAATATTATTATTAGAGACTTGAAATTTCCAGCTCATATCATTTTAATATTGACTTATACAAAGAATTTGTAACATTGCTTTCAAAAGTGTCTCTGCCATCATGTGATCTAAGATATAGTGAAAATGTCTAGCTTTGAGAATAAAGTGAGCTAGGTTTGATAGAATGTCGACGCCGCTTGCATTTTAGCTAACCTCAGTAAATTTATCCCATGTTTAAGGAAATAGTTTCAATATACATACATGTTATTGAATGTTCACGACATATAAAAAATAAACATAGATATGAACCGTTCATTTTGACCGTGTTAGATTGAACCGGAATACATTGATCTGGAACCTGAAATAAAAACATTAATGTGAGACATGATAATAAAAGAAAGATATTAATTTATCATTGTACGCGAAACTATTATGGAGTTCACGTGACAAATTATATGCAGCTCACCTGGATTGTCCTTTGCAAGGTTGATTTCTTCAGCAGCATGAAAGACAGGGCCGCGGACGACTAGAACAAAATTTACCTCTGACCCACAACGGTCGGTGGGCCCACCACTATCACAATTCGTGATTCATAAGGGTCTACTGAAGAATCTTTCCTTGGGCCCTTAAATTCTGTCCTCGGCTCCTTTCAAAACTTACTTATTAATTTAGAATAAATTATTCATTTTATGCAAAATGTACAATATAGTTTTCAACGGTTTTTTGAGTCGTTTTCCTTCGGAACTTCTATTTTTTCCGCTGGTTTGAAGCTCAGTTTTCCTCTCTACTGATTATTTTAATGTTAGATTATTCGATGTATGCATGTTTTGTTAACCACATGTTAATTTGTGTTAATTGGTCGTAATTTGTTTCCCTTTCTTTCATGCTATGTAAACATTCAAGCATGCATATATATATATATATATATATATATATATATATATATATATATATATATATATATATATATATATATTTATATATATATATATATATATATATATATATATATATATATATATATATATATATATATATATATATATATATATATATATATATATATATATATGTATGTGTGTGTGTGTGTGTGTGTGTATTTTTTCCCATCTCATTAGTATCTTGATTGTGATATTGATGTTATATTCGCTGCGTTACCTCTACGACAAAAGAAAAAAGTAGTAGTCCGTGACTATCGCACACGCATGCAAAGTAAGATACTTTTATTTGCAAATAATATATTGCGTCTTATAATCTGAGTGAAATAAAAAAGCTTTCACTCTCCATTTCTCAATCTAAGTGTGTCCTTGTTGTTGAAACCAGTTTTCTTTACCGCGCTAGCGATACTATTTACCACGTGAGTTCCCCATAAAAGCTGTCCAAGCATTTTTTAACTTAGCGGATCACGTATCTAAAGCCAAGTCCTAATCCTTCCTTCTGGGCTAGTAGGTTAAGCTAGTTATGCTAGTGATACGTGAGCCTTAATGAGATAGGCAAACCGGGTTTGACCGCCGACCTTGTATTCTCTCGAGTTGCGTTTGGGAACTCGTCTCACTGTTGTCCGTGCTGAGAATGGGTTTGGATGACAGTTCTAGGTGAATGTTGGCGACAATATAAGATATATGCCAAATTTAAAGAAGTAGGAGAACGGTAGCTGTTAGCCATTTAATAAACATTCAAGCTGGTCTGAACTTTTTATCTTGTGGTTTGTGACAGATGAATCGAGTTCGATGCCCGACGGCGACAATCAGACTTTGTTTGCCAATATTGTTACACAAATGCTTCCACGCGAAACAAAAAATAATCATATTGTTGTGGGGGCTGCAAACCTAGAAATTGTGTGCCTAATTTTTTTTTGAAATTGTAACCTTAATTTGTTCCTAGTCAATTTTTCATTGTTTTTATACTTTATTTATTTATCTATTGTTGTTTCTGTTTGTTTGTTTCTTCTTTTGTTTTGGGGGTCTTTTAATAGCAGTTTATGTATGAGTGACAACTTTATTTAAACTTTAAATTGAAAAGTACTGGAACCAATTTATGTATCGTCATTAATTTTGTTTTCATCGTGTACGATTGAATATATTTAAAATAGCATTTTGTTATGATCTTCTAAGTCCAGGTCAACTATAATGTAGGCATAGTTTTATTTACACTTGTTTTGAACTATGAAGATGACACTTTAGCTGTTTAAAGAAAATTGCAGATAGACAATGAATATTTATGCAGAATAAAATACCTTGTTAATGACACGGTTTAAATCTTCTATTTTCGAGCACGAATTTGACTGTTCCTTGCGATATAAAGTGTTTGCCTAAACTCAAAACCATTCACAGATAAATTCATGCATGACTTGCCAGAAAGGATGGTTTAGAAAAGCAAGTTCACGATCAAACCGTATAAAATATTTCTTTTTTAAAGAGAAATGTATGTTATGTAACATAATTTCGTCAGTTAATTTGATTCTTAAATAAAGAATATCATTTAAGGATAACGTTATGAACCATAGATAGGGAATCTATTCCAAAACTTAATCGTTCGTGATTCTTTTTAATGCACATAAGGAAAGCATCACGTTTGGATATTATAAATAAATAAATAATTAAACAGATACAGAGATAAATAGATAAATAAAAAATAAATAAATAAATAAAACTCCAAGTTAGTGACTTAGTTTAAGAACATGTTAAATCTACTTTTCCATAATAAGACTGCTGAAAATAGCAAAACTATTAGGCATAAAATAAGTGGCTTACTTACTTTATTTCACCGCATTCGAGTTATTTGTCTAGTCTGAAAATGATCTGCTATCGTAATTTATATATTTATATACGTTTGTCTAAAATTCTACAACAAAAAGGTGAAGAGTAGGAGGAGTTGTAATATCTTCCAGGCCAATTCAAGACCAATCACAGATCTTTACAACCCTTTAAGTGTGATTGCACACCATCAGACTGGAATCATTAATATTCTTGCAAACGAAGACTTTAAATTCTTGCTAAAAATAGGTACCGTCAGGGTGAAGGACACGAATTGCTTATATAACCTATAAAGTTTAATAAATAAAAAACTACGTTATATATGAGTATCTTGCACCTTACTCGTGACAGTGTATGTACAACGAGGAGAAATTGTTAAGTTTCAGTTCCAGTGAATAGGATTATTAGAATAATGCTATAGATCAACACTTCGTTTCACTTCTTTTTCTACAATCGAAATTATTATTATTATTATTATTATTATTATTATTATTATTATTATTATTATTATTATTATTATTATTATTATTATTATTATTATTAATAATAATGAGTTATTTAATCAATTAATTAACTAATACTTGTTCTCTAAGAAGTAAGGCTGGACTCTATCGGCTTTCAAAGTAGGACAACAATATCGCAGCTGCCGTACTTAACCTTACGTAACAGAACCTCCGCATAGCATTTGAAAAGGTTGAAGTTTTCTACTAGTCTGATTCAAAATATTTCCGTCGTTATGTCTCAATTTTGTGGATTCATTCATGGTCCTAACCACTTAATGTATGGCTACCTTTGTTACATAAATATTTCTAAATAAATTATTTAGCAGCGTCTGGTCGCTTCTATCAATCATCCTCTTTTATCAACCTATTAACCTCAACATCAAGCGGCCTTGTTTTTGACGCAGAGATGAAAGAAAATATGAGATATATATAATTGGACAATCATACTTTGATATATTAGAAGCAAGAATGAAATACGTTGAAATGTATGAGGTCAACGGTACATTTAGTATGGGTACTTACGTTACCTGTTTAACAACCTACTTATCTTGATACACAAGTACCTGCACCCATCAACAACCAACCCACATTATTGCAAATATCTACATACAAACTTATATGCCCACGTCAATGTATGCATGCGTGTATTAATGATTGATTCATTAAATACCTCCAATATTTTGTTCTACCTTTAGTGTGGATCGCTCTGATGGTCTAATGGTTAGAGCGTCCGCCTCAAATGAGGGAGGTCTTGGGTTTGAACCCCAGCTGAGTCATATCTATGACTTTAAAAATGGTACTAACAGATGCCTTCCTTGGCACTCAGCATTAAGAGGTTAGTGTTAGGACTAGTCTTCCTAGTGTCGGGATGTGACATGGTGGGACATCATGCCACATGTGAGAGAAATCATTATAAACTGTCATACTGCAGATATCGTAGCGATATGACTGAAAAAGTATTTAAGCTTGGCTAAAAAATTAAATAACTCACTTACTCACCTTTAGTGTTGACTTTTAATGTCATTGCAAGATAAAAAGATTTCGTTCACTCGCTTCAAATTTAGCACATATTTTCAATCTGTATTAAGAACTAAAACAATGCATAAAGATAGACACTTTAAAACACAGCAAGTGGTTCGCAGTTTTTTTATATTTATCTCCGGTGTTACTTATCATGATACATTTCCTTTGTACGAGTATTTCTGTGCTTTTCACCAGTAAGATATGTACTGAAATCTTAAAGTATTCTTTACTATTAATAATAATGATAGTAAATGTATGTTTTCATTTTTCATAACAGAATAATTCAAAATTTGTTTTATTTAAGAAGGAGTTGAATTTGTTATAAATTATTTTCTAATATTGTATTGGCATCTTACTTTTTCGCGCAATAACATTAATTTTATACATTCAGCCGTTTGCAAACATTGTGGATGGCTAGCACTTTGGGTAAGGAAAAAGCTTGTGGATGATGTGGTCAATCAATCAACGTCAATGTCACCATAACTGAAAGAAGAAAAAATTGGTTTAAAAACAAAAGCATTAGTATTATCTTACAAGCCTATTCGCAACATTGCTGATGACTTCTGCTAAGTGTATCAAAGAAGCCTATCGAATTTGGGGTCAAACTGAACAGGAATTCTCGCTCATGCGACGGAGAAATATGTTTTGCTAATCTTTCTTTTGTGTCTCAGTCTGGTTATCTCAGTCGTGTCGTCTCAGTCATGGTATCCATTCGCTAGAGACTACTGTTAAAGGAAACCCATGCCACCTTCTGCTGTAACTGACGTAGATGTTATAAACAACAACAGCAACACTAGATGTATAACAAAAAGGAAAAACATTTATAAAGCAACTTCAGGTCTTTCGAACTCTGATAACACCATAGAAAACAATGTCACACACACACACACACACACACACACACACAAACACACACACACTTCAAACACTCAGGCAATAGACACATCACTGTCCACACAAAACCAAACACTCATGTGCCATTGAACAGCCGGCAAAAACCAACATTGTGTTATGTCAAACTGTTTTCTTCTTCACAATCAGCCCTAGTTGAATCAAATATAATAATGCGATTGCAAATGGAAATTCATATGCTTACCAACAGGAGTGGCTTATACCCCAGTCCACATGTTGTTCTTGGACCTGTTCTCTTCATTCTGTACACTCAGCCACTCTCAAGTGTCATAGATCATCATCCAGTGTCTCACCAATTGTATGCTGATGACACTCAAATATACAAGTCTAGCCATCTAGCTGAAATTGAAGCTACCATCCAAGGCATAGAGAGTGCATTTCTGATGTGAAATCTTGGATGACATGTAACAAGCTGCAGATGAATGATGATAAAACTGAAGCAATCCCGATTACAACACAAAGACGTTCTCATTCATATCCTTTACTTCAGACAATAAATATCAGCATTATCAACATTAAATTCAAGCAGTCAGTACAAAGCCTCGGTGTCACTCTTGACAGTACTCTCTCATTACATGAACATGTCATGAACATATGCCGGGCTGCATATCTTGAGCTGAGACGCATCAGCTCCATTCCCAAGTATCTGTCAGTTGATGGCACTAAACACTTGTGTGTACCTCTAGTACTTTCAAGACTGGACTAGTGTAATTCAATTCTGTCTGGTTCATCTCAATATGTCCTTCAGAAACTTCAAAACGTTCAAAACACTGCTGTTCGGATCATCCTTAGAGTACCACGATCAGAGCACGCCTCTCCTCTGCTCTGTACTCTACACTGGCTATCCATACGATAGTAGTAGAGGGAAATGAGAGTTTCATCCCACTTTATTTTTTTACCCTCCAAACAAGTATAAATTATAGTCCTAAATTATCCCCCACCCCTTTTTCCAAAATAGTGAAATGAGGATTTTGGCCCACCACCCCCTTCCCACACCTCCTCCCCCACTTCCGCCAAACCCCTCATTTCCCTCTACTACTATGTAGACAGATATTTTGTAACCAGACAAAACAACAGGTGTTGGAATGCCATAAGCTATGTCAACAGAAGTGACGAATTTGTTAGAACAGCGTATGTGTGGAATATGATTATTCTAAAGACGGCAAATAGATTTTACCACAAATTTTTTATCAGATAACAGGATGAAAATTAAACTGTGCATTAGAACGTTTCAGTTAACAAGGCGGAAATTAAACTAGCATTAGAATGAAAATGATATTATTTTATATCTCATTACCAATGATTAATGTTTCAACTGTTGATATTAAAAATACTTCACTATCACGACTATAGATACTAAATTTTACTTTCCCGCTCACACAGCGATGGGACTCAATCAAATCTTTCATTTCTGGTTTGTTTAGAGGATATTTTTTGTTGATAAAATATACCCTTGACCGATCGAGATCAATTGTGAGTTTAGTATAGTTTTGTTGGCTAATGGGGCTGTGAAAGTTTTTAAATTCCGCTAGCAACTTTTGATACAATTGTTCGAGATAATTGAAATACTCGCTGTTATCAGATCTGATGAGCGAAAGTTTTAACTTGTCACGTGTTCCATTAAAACATATACCTGATGTTTCATTATTAAATTCAACTGTCAATTGTTTACCGTCCATCATTAGATATTTGATGTTACTATTGTAGCTATTTGTCATTGTCAAATTTTCAAACATTATTTTATAAGCTTAGATAAAATTTTAGTCACAATGAAAATACCCAAGGGCAAATGTATCTACTCCATTTTTACAATAGCGTTTGTCATCAAAATTGTACAATCCACGTTTGATAATGACATCTGTTTCGAGTTTATGATGATTAGTTCGAATTGCCATAGCTCTCATAAAATTAACACCGCCATCAAGCGCGTACTTGTAGTCATCAAATTTCATAAACTTTTTAACAAAATTACGAGGCAGACCTTTGGCTTTTTTCGTTATTTTATTATTATCTAACAATACGGCATACATTTTGCTGCGTAATCCGATAAAATATTTGATAGCGCTCGAGTTCATTTCATCTTTAAACTTACCAATAACCTTTTTATTTGTGTCGTCATGAAATTTACTGTCACGTGGATAATCAGAAAGATCAAACAGATGTCGATTATTGTAATGTCCTGATAGATGTCCTCGCATTCGATTTCATATACGAGCGAATCAGTATCAGTAAACAATAATCTACTAGCCGGCCACTGATTTTTAACAAAATTATAATGAAAATCGTACATCAGCCACTTTGATAAATCTAACACAGCAGCTCCAACATAGATCGGCTTGTTTAGTTTTAGATTTGTTTTTCTTCTTTGTATCGCAACAAGATTTTCATTAAATATTTTCATGCTCACAAAATCATCGTCTGACACAAGTTTGTTTCTGCGATTGACATCATTAACTATTTCAATATTTACACGTTTCCTAATATTCTCCATCGTCTTACCAAAAACGGAATTGTTCATCAGTTTAAAAAAGTTTTTCTCGAACTCTGTTTTCGCTGCAGCTCTTCTTGTAGTGTTTGAGTTAATATAACCTCTCATCCACGGCGACTGATTAAATTTTAGTACACGATGAACTTTTCTCAACACAAGACCAGCATCGACTGCTTGTTTTAAAACTTTGTAATGCAAAACGTAATTTTTCTTATCAAGTAAATTTGGTACTAGTTTCTTGACCATGGAATGTTGCCTTGGTGATGCTAACGCTTGTTGTTCTTTTGATAACAAACTATAATCTATGACCATCGATTCCGCACAGAAAGGGTAATCGTTATGTAATTTGTGTAGCGAATTTGGATAATCAAGATCAACTTCAACGAAATAGGAAACATCGTCGGGTATCTTTTTTTCTGTCTCTGATAGAAATCGATCAACCGTGATCCAATGAAATCCGCTAAAAGGCATTGGTTCTGCCATTGAACCACCGTAAAGATTATTACAATCTAGATAAATTATATACTTCGAAGGAAGGTCAGGGTTGTACTGTTTCAGATATTTGTTGTTTGCTTCAGCATACTTTTTTGTTATCACGCTAATACCTCCTCGGATACCTTTTTCAATAAAATTGAACATATCAACATCAGTCAGTAATTCTAACCTTACCTTACTAAACTTTAGCAAAGCATCCCATGACAACCCAGTTGCAGAATAATACCAGCAAGGATCTAGTCCATAATTATTATAACTCACTTCACGAAAACTTTCAAAAACATCTGCTAATAATAACACGTCAGTTTTCAGGTATAAATCATGATAATCACCAATAGTCTCACAATCAAACTCTTTCCAGATATCTTGTGCATACCTGTACTCATCATCAGTTATATTTTCATTTTTAAGTTGTGAGTAAAATTTGTCTTTGTCAGGTAAAGATGTTTCATCAAATTTACTCCAATCGTCGAGGTATTCGTATGGAAAAACTCCTTTTTTAGCTAGTAGATTAAATTTATCTCCAAAACAGTCTCTTAGGTTATCAAATTTACTACAACCTTTCACTAACTCATCTAACGAGCCTGCCATAAACTGCAGGCTGTCAATAAAACGCAATTTACCTAGCGTAACTGACATGTACTTTTCAAAATTATTTGGGATGCATTTGATGATGTTATCGAGTTTTAGACGAGATTTTATATCAGGATCACCAAAAGCTTCTACTATAATATGGCTATCATATCCTCGAAAATTGTGACGAATAACTGGAATAAAATCTGGAGCATGAAATTTTAAATTACACTGATTATGAGCCGCTCCACGATACTGTCCAGTCAAATGACAATGGTCATGTAC